CCAGCTTATACTTCATGCAGATTTTTATTAATAAAGATGTGTTTATTGCACAAAATGTATTTATCCCACACTGCCAGCTGTGCTCTTTTACTTGTGAAGTTACAAAATCCAGCTGCTTGATTTTTTTTCTTAAAAACTCATATTTGCTGAAAGATGAGCAGGGAGAGTGAAATTGCAAACATCTGAATGGATACAGTATTTCAATTTCTTTCCTCAATGTATGCCAAGTCTTAATTCTCTAAGGCAATGATAATTCAGGCAAATTGGGTTTACCCCACTTCCCATTTCAGTATTTTTTTTAAGCAAGTGAAATAACAGTAGCCAGTAGTCTTCAACTGCTTCCGGAATGGCAGGTGCTATGCTGAGTGAGTTCTCCAGAAGAATGGTCTCATTTGGCGCTGACAAGGTCCCCGTGAGGTGGGAACTATTATTAACACTATTTTTTTTACCACAATTTTACAGATGAGAAGGCTGAGGGCCAGAGAGACTACAGAACATGTTCCAGGTCACCCCTTAGTACAAGGGAGGGCTTGGATTCCAATCTAGGCTAACTCCAAAGCTGGTATTCTTAGATGCTAGGTACATATAACTGATGTTTGCTCTCTTAGGCCATAAACTCAAAAAACTGGGATTGTCTTCCAGTTTGTTAGCATAGGGCCTACGATATCACTATGAGCTGCTTAATAAATGCAAGCAGACATGGCAAGGAGAGATTTAACAAGCTATTAGAAAAAGGAGTAGCCTAAAATTAAACAATGTTCAGCATGACTAAATACCACCAAGATAATGCACATTAAACTAACAAGGAATAGTAAGCTACACCTATGGGCCAAATCTTGCCCATAGCCTATTGTTGTAAATAAAGTTTTATTAGAACACAGCCACGCCCAGCTGTTCACATATGGTTAATTTCACTCTATAACGGCAGAAGCGAGTGGTTGTGACAAAGAATGCATGACTCATGAAGCTGAAAATATTTACAATCTGGCCTTTTTCAGAAAAAGTTCACTTTTTCTGCTTCAGAATGTTGTCCTTAACTCTTTTATGCCATCATCCCTTTTTGGGAGTTTAGTGAAGTCCATGGAACCCTTCTCAGATAATGTTTCAAATGTACAAAATAAGTAAAAATAAAAACAATAAGAATAGAAAAGAAACCAATTATATTGAAGTAGTTATTAAAAGAAAAAAATTGCGATATGCCAATGCGTGTGTTTTACTAATGCATTAAATAACAAGACTTAGCGGCGGGTCTAGTAACTACAGTAATTTCTAAATAAAGAAGAGTGTAAACGATATTTTGATCTATCGGCAATAATTGTCATGAAAAGATTTGCGATTTCTACTGGTGACAAGTTCACGTGCGCTGTTATCAGATTGGTTGCCTATTTTCATAATTGAAGGATGTGCCAAATTTCAGTACAGGTTAGTGAAAATGAAGATGTAATTTTCCTTTCCATCCAAGTTCATGGATTTCCCTCCCAAATTTTATTCATGGATTTCTGGGGGGAAGATACCTGTGGGCGTGGGCCCAGAGTAAGAAACACTGCTCCAGAACGTCCTACTAGGTTTACCAGTTATATCTTTGCCAAAATTATAGTGACAGTCTTCTTCTTCTTCTTTTTTTTATTTTCTGGCTAGCCAGGGTCCAAGCCCCAGAGCACCAACGCAGTGGCCACTCTCGCAGGCAAGGACTTAACAACACTTTTTGACATGAAAGCAAAGATTTTAAATCTCCTTGTAATTTTTTTTTCCTTAACCATAACTTTATTTCTTTAATGAGACATATTTGTCCAATAGTCCTGGTGGCCTATAAGCTCCTCAAAGCTGATGAATATGTTCATTCTTGCCCACTACTTGATGTATACAATGTCTGACACATGGTGAGGTTTAAAGATTGTTGAATGAATAAGTGACTGATATATTTTAGCTGACAGATCTTTCTTAAGTTTAGGTTGCTACTAAAACAACTGACGATGTAGTCCATCAAATCAACGCAGGGGTAAAAACAGAATTCCACTAATTTAAAATTTTACAAATGCCACATATTCATAAAAGGGAAAATGAACACTCTATGGAGACAGTGCATAAATGGCACACATTGAAATTTTTAGAAAACACGCCTTTTCTAAATCAAGGTGAAGATGTTACTATAAATGGTAAGTTCATCCTTGTAAATCAAAATGAACCACTTTCATAAATGAATTCTTCAGCTTCTCTAATTTAGGCCGGGGGGGGGGATTTCTGAAGACAATCAGTTGGACATCAATCATGCCAATATCTTAATTTATTGCAGTAGATTCCAAACATGTTCCCAAATCTCCCCACCTCCCCACCCTCCTGTAGCACGGCCCTCTGCCATGTCATTATTCGTGCTCTCCCAACAGGGCAGGATGACCTCCCAGGACCCACAACACGTGGCTCAACCATGTCATTGGATTCGGCCAATGGTATGTTAGGTAATTTAACACAAGTACTGGCTTGAAATGGGCTTGTGCACTGGCACTTGCTTGCTTGCAACTTGGTCATTGCTGTGAGAAGGTCAATCCTGGCCTAGCCTCCTGGGCCCAGGAGAAGGATGACAGGTAGGTGGAGCAGAGCTGGATTCCACAGGCAAGGCCAGCCCACAGCCAGCAGATCCTCGGACTCAGGAAGTGAGCCAAGCCAAGATCACCAGAGTCACCTAGATGACACCCAGCTGATCCCCAACATGGGAGCAGAAAAGGCATACTGTTGCATTATTATCCACTGAGGTCTGGTGGGTTTTTATTATGCTGCACCATTATGACAACAGATGACTGATACAGATACTGGTATCTGCAAATGGGGTGCTGCCCTAACAGAGAAGCACAATATAGAGCACTGGTTTTGAGACTGGGTAGCAGGTGGAGGCTGCAGAAATGGCAATTCGCACTAGAGAATGGCAAACATTCGGTAAAACTGTTGCCTGTGGTAGCTTAGCAGATAGAAAATACGCATAATGAGTTTTGGACTTGAATAAAGAAATAAACTCTAGGCAGAACAGGGGGAGTGTTTTAGAAGCTGGATATGACAAGATGCTACAAGAAAGAGACAAACAAAAAAAAGAACTAGCCATTTTCTAAGCAGAATTTAGAGGGAATATAGAAAGTCAAAGATTTGCTGCAAGTAGTTTCTCTTCTCCAGCCAGCATCGCTAGCTAGATTTTCAAAGTAAGAGAAAAGCCTGGGGAAGAAGGTCATATCCAAGGAACTGACCTCAGAGTAAAGATCAAATGAGAACTAAGAGGTCTGAATATAAGGCTCTTTGTTAAAATCGCCAAAAGAATTAAGTTGGTGCCAAGTATGTTCTCGAAGCTGGACAAAAGGATTCCTAACACCCCTAGAAGGTTATATGCCGAAAGTGCCTATAATTGAGAAAAAGAGGCAAGATTCTAAACGAACTGTGGGTGTGGCTTTTGGTGCCTGAATACATAGGAAACACACGAAGTTTTTAAGACAGCTCTACCAGCAAAACTGTCGCCAGCCTAGCCTGAAACAAAATGTGAGAAGACCTCCCTCCAGCTTTTGATAGGCAGGAAGTAGGGTGAGAAAGTTTTTCAAAGGTACCTTGTTCAACCCTTTTCAGAAGTGGCTTAGGAAGGTGACTGAAAGCATGTTCCAACAGGCAGAGGCAAGAACCAAAGAGCTGGTTCTCAAGAAACAGTCCCTGTCCCCTGAGTGACAGGGACCTGGGAACCTTTGCCCAGAAGGGTCTCAGAGATGCTATGGGCCAATGACTGCCCAACGCCTCCCATTCTTGCCCTTTCAAATATTAATAGAATTATTGTAATTATCTCGGCTTGGTTTTACTACTGTATATCGCGCGTAGAGTGACAGACAGCTTGTCTTTTACTTCTGTGTCTCTGGATGAAGAAGAGCCGTGCCCGGCCCTGATGGAGATTACACGAGCCTGGTCTTCAAGCCCGGTCCTAAGATTGGCGGAGACCTGTGGGGCTCTCGCGAGGGTGCGAGTGCATTCTGCACGTCGGAGAGATGTGAACGATGGTGGGGATAAAGGTAGCCTGTAGCTGTTTGCAAAAATGGTCCCAATTCTTCACCCCTCCCTGTATCCCTGACCTTTGCCATGTGAGCTTGTGGTGGCCTCTCACTGTGGGTGAGCTCGGTCCCATTCCTGACACCAAGGCCAACCGTGGGACTTGCCGTAGCCAACGTGATCCTTGCAGACCTATACAAGTGGAGGCTTCAAAGGGACTAACACGGTGGGGCTGGCTTGCTTGCACCTCTGCCACCCTCATGAGAGGGACAAGCTGGGGATACTCAATGGTCCCAGGATGAGAGATGCACAGAGCACAGCCAGGTGGCCTCAGCCAAGGCCAGGGGACAGCCGGCTAGCCCACGGCCAGCAGACCCCCAGCCTAGGTCAGCAGACATCCGCACCCCCCCCAACACACGTGCTTAAGCCACACCAAGATCAACAGGGTTGTCTAGACAAGTCTGACCCAAAGTATGTGAGCAACACGCGTTTACTATACGCCATTGAGATTTTGTGGTTATTGTTACGCAGCATCATTGTATCAATAGCTAACTGATACACAGGCCAAAAGGAAAACATATATCATTTGTTGAGTTACCTATTCTGTTGATTTTGCTGTCTGTTTTTTGGTCAAGCTGTCCCACGCTAAACTCATCAGAGTATACATTAAAAAATTACTGAAATGCCTAATCATAATGCAGAGATTTATCAAAGATGCATTGCTTATATATTTCATTGAGTGCACCTCCTCAATTATATTCCAGTGACTATGTTATAAAATCGTATAAAAATGTATTTACAGTTATAAACTTGATGTTTTTTTCCCCCTGTTTTGCTGAGAAAGGCTCTTCTGGGCAGATGAAAAGCAAACCTGCAAGCAATGGGAAAACCAATGCGTTTTCTTACGTTGCGACTAAATACTTCCAGGTGCTTATGCCTGAAGCCGGAGGCAGGCAGGAGCACAGAGGGCGAGCAGGGGCAGGACTTACCCGTGTGGGAGCGCAGGTGCACGGTGAGCTGGCTGGAGTTGCGGCTGGCGTAGGGGCAGATCTGGCACTTGAAGGGCCGCTCGTCAGAGTGAATCCGCAGGTGCTTGTTGAGGCTGCTGCTGTCCGCGGCGGCGTAGTCACACGTCTTGCACTTGTAGGGCTTCACGCCCGTGTGGCACCGCATGTGCGTCTTCAGCTTGTCCTTCCGGCTGAAGCACTTGCCACACACTTCACACTTGTGGGGTTTGTCTCCTTCAAACACACACACAGACGGTAGCAGGAAATAAGATTCAAAAAGAAAAAGGCTTATTTCCTACCACCTTAAGAAAAAAATACCATGTGACTACCCAGAAATATTCAGGCAACCCCAAAACTTTAGGTGCACGATTGGCAAAGAGCTAACATCTCGGGAAAGGGGGGAATTTCTTCTTCTATTTTCCTTATTGGTATTTTCTGATTTTTTTTTTTTTACAATGAATATGAATTTCTTATCCATTACAAACCAAAGGCAACTAAAATAAAAATTTTAAGTACAGCTAAGTAAAATAAGAAACTGTTAATTGTCCCTTATATTCATTCTCCCCTTTTCCCTTTCCGCAAGAGACGTGCCCTAAACTTTAGAACCCCAGCGTCTTAGCAGCATTCATGGCTAACCAGCCCCAAACAGTATTTCTCAGCCTCTCTTGCAGCTAGGTGTGATTCTGTTACTAAGTTTTCGTCACTGCAATGGCAGAGAACGTAAAAGTGTGTCCCTTCCACACACTAGGGGATTGCTAGCCTTTTACTTTTTCTCTTTTCTGTCTTCCTCTGAGCTGCAACCAAGACATGGCGGTGAGTCAGCTGGTGAGGGCAGGTGAGCGAGCAGGTGAAAACAGCACACCTGCAGACGGTCAGGTAACGTAACATAATGAGGTAGGGAGAACTTGAGTTCCTCGATCTCCTAGGACAGAGCTGCCCACCTGCCCTAGACTACGCTCTTACCTCCATGCACTTGCATGAGAGAGGCGGTGCCTAGCCACTGCTAACTTCTCGATGTATATTTCCCCAACAATTAATCTCTCAGCATTGTCATCGGCTCAATAGTGAGGGATCCTGATAGTTTCTGTAAAAAGCCCTTTTGCTGTTGCCGCTCCCCCAAACCCCAGGGGTGATTAAGCACTCACTCCTCTCTGAAAGTAACGAAGGTAAAATGACACACCTCCCCGGCAACCCTTGGACTTGAAGATGTTGATTGGGACGCTTTGGGTATGCAGAAACTATCCTACAAACACAAGCTTGGCTGTGTGTCGAAGATGCTTTCTGAAGACTTGCAGAAACAGACTTAAACTTGTACTTTTACAATGCTTTCCCAGTCATCATTAATAGTTACAGTACTTTACTCTTTCCATGATAATTACGTTATGCTTGATGGATGGAACCTCAACATAGGAAACCCACATACAGAGTTCCACTGCTTGTCACATTGAAATGCTTGCCCATACTTGAAACTTAATATTTGGATAATTAGAATAAATCCAAACGACATGACACTTTGAGGCTGATTAGATATGATGGTGACCTCAATGTAATAAGGCACTCATTGGTCATGGCCAAGGAATATAAGAAATAACTGTTGCCTATTTCATCTTCCAAAGGCTGAGGCGAAATAGCGGACTTTGGGCAATCAAAGAAGTCAAAGTCAAATTTCACTGTAGCCTCTAAACATTTATACTCTTTGAATTGACACACATCTGCATCATTTGAATATGAGCATCTAATATTTTGTTAAATATAGTCTAAAAGCAACTCCCTTTTTTTAGTTGGAGACACAGTCTTGCTTTGTTGCCCAGGCTAGAGTGAGTGCCGTGGCGTCAGCCTAGCTCACAGCAACCTCAGACTCCTGGGCTTAAGCGATCCTTCTGCCTCAGCCTCCCAAGTAGAGTAGCTGGGACTACACCATCATGCCTGGCTAATTTTTTCTACATATATTAGTTGGCCAATTACTTTCTTTCTATTTATAGTAGAGACGGGGTCTTGCTCTTGCTCAGGCTGGTTTCGAACTCCTGACCTTGAGCAATCCACCCACCTTGGCCTCCCAGAGTGCTAGGATTACAGGCGTGAGCCACCGCGCCCGGCCTGCAACTCCTTTTCCATGCAGAAAATCTGGCAAACATTAAAAATATTAAATAAAATTTAAATCACCAGAAATAATCATTTTTCCCATACATTGATTTTTCTCTCCTTTTCCACGAAAGTATTTATGAAATCCTCATTTCTAAATTACAAAAACGACACCACTCACCGTATCTAATGATAAAATGTGAAAATACATAAAAGTTTTTATTCTTTCCCCTTATTCCTCTCTTCACTAATCATTACACACAAACACACACACTTACACGATCATCTCCTCAACATAAGAATATGTACTTTCAAATTTTAACGAATTTTGGCAGGTCAGTTTCCACAGTGGCTGCAGCAGTTCACGTTCCCACTAGCTAAGTTTGCTCGCATCCTCTCCAGCACTGTATTTTATTGCTTTAAACATTTTCTGCCAAAATCGCATGTAAAAACAGCATCTTATTTTTATTCAATTTTGATCTGTATTCCCGTGACAACGAGTGAGGTTTTGAGTCACAGCATGTGTCGCATATATATGGATCCCCACCCAACTCCTGGCACATGGCAGGTGTTTGGGGTGCCCGTGCTAAAGAAATTTTACTTACCTGTGTGGATTTTTAAGTGACGCTCCATGTCCTTCATGCCATAGGCAGTTTTGAACTGGCAACCTACACAAAACAAGGAAAGATTAACTACAAAGGTGAATGGCGTAACTTTAGAGTGGAGAAAACTGGCAGAAACTTCCTCAACCAAGGGACGAACGTGAACACCACAGTCATGGGACCAGTAGATCCGGGTCCTTAGATGTAAGGCCCAGTAGACCCTTACATGACGCACCAAGAAGGACACAACACGGCTTCTGTGGTTCCTGCCCAAACTGCGTAACCCGAATCTAATCATGAGGACACATCGGACAAACCCAGACTGAGGGCCACGTTGCAGAACAACTGGCCTACGCTTTTCAAAAATGTCAAGCTCCTGAAAGACAAAAGCTGAACTGTTCCTGATGAAAGGAAACTAAAGACAAATAAAATCCAAATAGTGAGCACAGGTTGAAGCCTGGACTGGGGGAAAATTATTTTTTCTATTGATGAAGAGGACATTTGTGGGACAATCGGTGAAATCAGACTAAGGTGAGTAGATCTGGTAATAGACCATAGACATGTTAATTTCCTAATTTGATGAACGTCCTGTAGTTATATAATAGAATGTCCTTGTTTTTAGGAAATACACAGCGAGGTATCTGGGGTCAAGGGGGGTGGGGCATCATGCCTGCAACCTGCTCTTAAATTATTTGGGAAAAAATATACATATATATATAGAGAGAGAAAGAACGATGAAGCAAATATGGTAAAACACTAACATTTGGGGAATCTAGATGAAGGGTACACAGGAATTTTTTGTATAATTTTTCTAACTTTTCTGTAAGTTTGAAATGATTTCCAAATAAAAAGTTAAAAAGAAAAGTAAGGGAAGAAAAATCGTACTGGATGTCTTCCTAAACTGTAGCACAGGCAGAAAAATGTACAGCAATCTGAAGTTTTCACGAGCTCCATTTCAAAGGCTCGTGGCCATAAAAAAGTCTAAGAGCCTCATGCACAGTGACCAGGGACAGCGAGAGAAAAGCTGTATGCGCTGACACAAATGCTGCGGGGCTCTGATTTTTATGTCTAGCAGTTCGGGACACGTCCGTGTCCACTAGTCAGGAATTCATAGGTGACAGCCCTGGAACCCGAACCAGGGTAAATGTCCCACCCTGTACACAAGTAGGACATAGTACTGCCTTTACCTGGATAGCAACAGTTAAGCCTCTTCTGAGCAGGTGGGGTTGCAGGCTTTTTGGTACGAGACTTGGCAGGGAGAGAGATGACCGTGGCTGTCTGGTTTTCGTTACTTTCCGTGGGCAGGTAGGTTTGATAGCCATGCTCAAAAACGAATTCAGGAGCTGAAACTAAAAGATATAATAATTATTAATTTTCATGATAGGAACACCCAATAGCTATTCCCTTTGCCTACCTTCCTTTGTAGAAAATGAACATGCTAGACTGCTTCCCAAGCCTCCTTTGCTGCTTAGGAGGGATCGCAGGACCCAGTTCTAGCCAATGAGACACTAGAGAGCACCTGTTGGGGTGATTCTGTAAAGATTTTCCTCTCTGATTTTTTTGAAAATAGAAACAACAACAAAAAAAAGAGCGAGAGAAGCCGTTGAGGAAAGCTCATTCATGCTTCCCCGTTGCCCCACTTCCTGTCTTTGGACATGCTGGAGTGATGATGTGATGCCTGGATCTGTGGCAGCCATTCCGTAACCATAAGGGGAAAGCATGAGAATCAGATGTTGAGCCAGAGGTCTGAAACCATCCAAATGTAGACTTCTTAAATCAATAAGAAATGTCTCTATAATTTATGCCAGGTAAGTTTTCTGTTAATGCAGCCAAATGCATTAGGCACTCTCATAAGCTGTATGACAAGCTGTATCACAAAATCTTAATAAAGCACCAGAAAGGAACTAATATAAGGAATTGTGGGCAAAACTAGTCTAATTAACATTCTCTTCAGCATAAGTATTCCTAAAGGAAAAAAAGAAATTCTTGTACTCTCACTGAAGTTTTGAGGCAAAAAGAAAAAAAATAGCAAAAGAGAGACCAAATACGAAATATCATTGTAAAGATAACATAGGCAATCTTGCATTTCTTTTTTTTTTTCAATTATACAAAAATTCTGTGGCTATTTTGTTAACTAATCTTGTGGTTTGGGGCTTAGAAATACTTTCTTTTTTAAAAATGTAATTTGTCTTGAAGATTTGGCTTCCAATGAGGAGTCTATACAACTAATGGGGCTTATTCATTAGGTGAACTTAGGCTAAGAGGCCCTGATGATGATTTTGAGAGACACTGTGATGTTTTGTTTCCCAGACCTTAGTCACGGAGGCACCACCTTGGACATTTTTGTCAATTGTTTACAGAATGTATTTACTTAAATAAACATAGGCCTAGGCCGGGCGCGGTGGCTCACACCTGTAATCCTAGCACTCTGGGAGGCCGAGGTGGGCGGATTGCTCGAGGTCAGGAGTTCGAAACCAGCCTGAGCAAGAGTGAGACCCTGTCTCTACTATAAATAGAAATAAATTAATTGGCCAACTAATATATATAATAAATTAGCCGGCATGGTGGCGCATGCCTGTAGTCCCAGCTACTGGAGGACTGAGGTAGAAAGATTACTGACCCAGGAATTTGAGTGCTGTGAGCTAGGCTGACGCCATGGCACTCACTATAGCCTGGGCAACAAGCGAGACTCTGTCTCAAAAAAAAAAAAAAAAAAAAAAAAATCAACATAGGCCTAATGTCACTACTTATTTTAGCTTTGTCCAAAGCAAAAATATTCATGCCACAGGTTTGAGGTGCTATTTCGAGTTCTCTTAAAACGAACATCCTATTTCTTTGAATCTAGGATGTTATAGATCGTGAGATGCATCATAATTTTATATATGATAAAACATGTTGCCAATTAAACACATTATGATACAACGCTTCCATATTCTTTAGATATTTTATATTTATTCAATGAGCTCTTTTAGGCTTCTTTGGACATTTGACAGGAAATCCAGGTTTCTGATCCGTATCTCTTTGGCACCTTTGGCAGTGACAGCATCACTCTGATGTACGTCAAATATCAGCACAGAAACCCACGGCTTCCACCTTTCTCAGTGGAAGTGTGTCTAGGGAAGTTAAGTGACTTTTGTTTAGTCCAAAGATTCTGATGAACTGATGTTCCCTGCCTTCATTCAGCCAAGTCCCCCCGATGCACAAATCAGCCACGTCCGCCTCTTGCTGAAATATTTTCATTTACTCCCTGGGGTTTGGCTATTGCTCCGCTTTGGCTTGCCCTGCTTGGTTCCCAGAGTGTGGACCCCAGCCAGCAGCACGAGAGCTGCCTGGGAACTTGTCACAAGGGCAAAGTTCCGGGCTCCACCTGGACCTACTGAATCAGACACTCTGGGGGCGCACCCAGCAATCTGCATTGTAAAAAGCCCTCCAGGTACATCTGATACAAGCTGAGGTTTGAGAACCACTAGCATAGACCATCCTTTTCCACGAATCTCAGCAGTAAAACTTAACCCCACTTTGTCTAAATGATGGAACCCACCCTTCGTGGTTGTTGCTTTGCAAGAACATAGAACTGCAGTCATTGCAGTTATAGAACTGCATTCTATAATGAAGCACTTGCTTCATTGATAGCAAAATGGCTCTCTGTTACTGTTTCCAGGCATTACGGGGTAAACAGTTACTTTTCATCTTTAACCTGAATTACCATCTGGGAAGACATTTTTAAAAACTTTGAGATAGGGTCTTGCTATGTTGCACAGGCTGGTCTCGAACTTGTGGGCTCAAGTGATCCTTTTGCCTCAGCCTCCCAAGTAGATGGGGTAACAGGTGCACACCACTGCACCCGGATTGTATCTCAGAAGGCATTTTAAACAGCAATTAAACGCAATACATGTAGTTCCAAAAAGGCACACAACTCAGCTGAGGTGACAAAAATGTGGTCAACCGTAATCAAGTTTGTTCACATGCGCAGAGAGTTAATTTTTTTGGACTGCCGGTCGGCTGACGGCAATCTCATCGATTCTGGGATGCACTGCTGTTTCACATATGCTAAAATGGGTCTTCGAGTTGCTATGGGTCCAGGTTTAGCCACTTACTATATGTGTGACCTCAGGCCAGTTAGGTAACCTCTCTGAGCCTGTTTTGTCACCTGTAAATGGAAATAATCACCATGCCCACTTCATAAGGTTGCTGTAAAGTTCCACGAAAGAATTCAGTAGCCCAGGATGTGGCCACGCTCGAGTCTCAACGAAAGTTAGCTCCTACGGTTGAACAGAACTGGACTTGGGCCCTTTCACAGCACACTCTCAACTGGAATGCTCATGAGGGTGACCAACGGTCCTCTCTAACTTCCCAGGAGACCAGCGGGGCTTCCTCTCCTACTTGTCCTCTGTCTCGAACCTGGGGAAGTCACGGCAGACGGAAACATGGAAGCAGTCTGGATATCAACCCTTCTCAGACACATGGTTTGCAAATATTTTCTCCCATTCCCTCTGTTGCATTTTCATTTCTGCTGTTTCCTTTGAGGCATAAAAGTTTTAAAATCTGATGTAGTCCTATTTGCCTAGTTTTTGCTTTTGGTGTCTTAGGGGGAGGCAGCAGGAAGCACCATGCGTGGGCAGGCCAAACACCGCAGAGGGAGTCAGCATCCAACTGTGGGGATCACTTTGGGGGTGGGGCTGTTCACATGTAACCTGCGAGTCACCCCAAAGTAGATGGCTACTAGACCAGAAAGGGTTTGTTCAGGAGCTTGGGCTGTGTATGAAGTCTTACCTTCCTGGGCCAGTTTCTTTACCTAGAGAATGGGGACAATTTCTACTTCTATCTCCTAGGGCTGTTGTGAGGATTAGGGACCAGGTATGCAAAGCTGCTATGCTGTTGTCATTATTCATTAATTTTTTTTTTTTTTTTTGAGACAGGCTCTCACTGTGTCACTCCAGGCTGGAGTACAGTGGTGTGATCACAGTTCATTGCAACCTTGAATGAACTCCTGGGCTCAAAGGATCCTCCTGGCTCAGCCTCCAGAGTAGCTGGAACTACAGATGGGCACCACCATGCCTAGCTAATTTTTAAAAAAATTTTTTTGTAGAGACAGGGGTCTTGCTATGTTGCCCAGGCTGGTCTCAAACCCCTGCCCTGGTAGAGCTGATATTCTAGCTGAGAGTGGTGTGGGTAATAAATAACTTAAATATGTAGTATTTCAGGTGGTGCAAATGCCATGGAGGAAAATAGGGCAGGGAAGGGAATCAGGCACTGCTGGGGGCATTCAACTGTAGGTAGGCCCAGGAAGGCCTCCCTGAGAAGACGCCATTTGAATATAAAACATGGATGCATATAATTATTCCATTAATAGTATTCCATTGCAGGTGTCTGGAATTCACAGCAACAAAGGAGCACTGGGTGACAAGAGTCTCATCAGACAGCCAGCTGGCTGGAGACCAGGGTCAGCCTCTCCCACTCTCCCCCATACCTGGCTCCTTTCCAGGATCTCCTTCGGGTAGGACCTGCAGACACCCCAGGGGGGAGCTTCCATGGCCTGGATCACTGAGGGGCTGTGGGTGACCAGAGGCCTCCTTCAGTTCCTTCGGGTGTTTGTGTGCGATTTGATACTGGAGTGTGTGTGTGGGGGGTGCACGCGCAGTCAGACTAACCAAGAGCAACTCCTGTCTCTACCACTCCCTGCCTGTGGGACCTTGACCAAATCACTTCTCTGCTCTTCAGTTCTTTTGTCACTAAAATGGGGATGTTAGCAGCAGCCTTAGAGCTCAGACTTCCTTCCTTCCTTCCTTCCTTCTTCCTTTCCTCCTTCCTTCCTTCCTTCTTCTTCTCCTCCTTCTTCCTTCCTTCTCTCTCCTCTCCTCTCCTCTCCTCCCTCCCTCTCCCTTTCCTCTCTTTCTCCTTTCCTTTCCTCCCTCCTCTCTTCTCCTTTCTTCCTTTCCCTTTCTTCCTTTCCTTTCCTTTCTTTCTTTCTTTCACTTTCTTTTTCTTCCCTTTTTTTCTTTTTTCTTCCCTTTCTTTCCCCTTCCCCATCCCCTTCCCCCTTTCCTTTCCCCTTCCCCTTCCCTTTCCTTTTCTTTCTTTGAGATAGGATCTCGTTCTGTTGCCCAAGCTGGGATGCAGTGGTGTGATCATAGGTCACTGTAGCCTCAAACTCCTGGGCTCAAGCAATCCTCCTGCCTCAGCTCCAAGTGCTGGGACTACAGGTGTTTACCACCACACTTGGCTAATTTTTAAACTTTTTTTGGTAGAGATGGGGGAGTGTAGCAGCAGAGGCAGATGGTCTTGCTGTGTTGCCCAGGCTGGTCTCGAACTCCTGACACCCTGTGGCCCTGTGAGCACTGCACCCTGT